AAGGGATTCTGTGGAGTGGAAGCCAGGGAGTGCAGCAGCTGTGGCCTGAGACCTGGTATAGTCGAGGATCCTGCTTCCTCCTCTATCCAGGGCCTGGCCAAGATGCAGGGACAAGGCCAAGTGTAAGGTGAATGTCATGGCTCCTTGTCAGATTATTATTGCCCCAAGTGCTGTGTCCAGGGTGTCCTAAGAAGGGCTCCCCTACTCAGTGCTCCTTGGAGGCCTCTCTCTGACCAGGAACACAAAGATGCTTTCAGAGAGCCCTGGGTGGGGGACACTTAGACAGGACGAAGAAAGAGGAGGGCTCCAGTGGGGGTCAAGAATGTGGACTTTGTTTCGGGGACACTGGCAAGGCCAACTTAATTGTGGTGGCTGTGCGTGCATGTGTGGGTGCATGTGCCGGAATTTGGGGGGTATATCTTGGGCTTGGAGGTGGGGGGAAGAGGGATATGTCAGGGCTGATTGAAGGGTATTGAGAGGGGTAGGAAGGAAGTCCTCTGTCAAATTCAGAGGGAATCTGGGAGAGAGGTTTCATCATCATTTTAAGGCTTGGGTAGAGGAGACAAAAGGGAGGCAGGAGACATCCTAATAATAGTGCTGAGGGGGTGACTATACTCTGAGGTCCTTATGCCCCTGCCCTGTACCCCCAGGGTCTGCTTGGCCCTTCCAGCCCATCACCCTTCCTTGGACAGCACCAGCCTGAGGCTTCACAGACACCTGTCTCCACCCTGCCTCCCCCAATCCGGAGGGGAGGGATTCTAGGACAGCCACAAGCACTGTTGGGCCGTTAGCCCCCAGGGTGGCTGGGAAAGGGAGGAAGGGAGAGATGTGGGGCCTGGCAGGGACTCTAGGGGCTAAGACCTTAAAGAGCAGAGAGCCCATGAGGGGCCTGACTCTTCTCAAAACTATCAGGACTTAGCTCATTCAACTCTCTAGTCCTTGTCAGGAATGAGGGGAACTGGGGTGCAGGGGGTGGGAGTGTCCCTAGAGCTCGTCCTCAGGCGGTGGATCCTGAAGCACCATTTCTGAGCTCAGCCCTTGCCGCTGCCCTCTCCATGCCCCACCCCCCAACACACACATATGCATATCATCCTTCCATGGAAAAGTAAATTGTTCCCAGTTTGCAAATAACAGCCCTTCTGAGTAATATTTTTACAATGTACAAGAACACGATCACACCTATTGTCTTCTCGGATCCTGGCTACAATTGTGTGAGGTAATAAGGGCCAGTATACATTTTTTAACAGAAGGGGAGACCAAGGCTCAGAGAAAACTTTTTATTTTTTAGCATTTTTGCCCGGGGTCACATGGTTAGTGCCTGGAGCAAGGGGCAGGCAGTCCAATATAAATTGAGCTTCTGCTGTGTTCTAGGCGGTGTGCCTCACTCTTAGGTACATTATGTCCTTTAAATCTCACAGCAGCTCTGCTTTATCCCTATTTCACAGACGAGAAAGATGAGGCTCAGAGAGGCCAAGCAACATGCTCAAGCTTACACAGTGACAGAACTGGGTCTCCAATCCTGTCTTGAATCCAAATCCAGTGCTCATGCCATGGCACTGGCAGAAGTGCCTAATGCCCTGGGTGGGAGGTTACCTGAGATGGGTTGAAAGCTGGAGACAGGCTGTACTTTTGCCTTTATGGAGGCACTGTGGGGAATGTTAGTGTGTCTTGGGCAAGACGGAGGAGCTCTCTCCCCACAGGGCTTTGGGAACAGTGGGATGTGGTGGGGACAGGGCTGAAGCGGGTTCTATTCCTCAGGGCAGGTTTGTGGGGTGGGGTGCAGGGGAAGCACTTGAGGGAGAGGGGCCCTGCACCCTTTGGAAAAAAAGGGTCCCAGGTCTCAGGGTTGGAAAGAGAAGAGAGGGAGACCATGCAGGCCACCCGCCACGCCCAGCAGGGACTCTTCTAGCTCCTGCTCACGGTGTCAGGGACATCTATAGACACACTCTGGCCACAGGGCGACAAAGAAGCAAGTGGGGCCCTGAGCAGATACCTGGGCCAGTCAGGGGACCCCTGTACCTGCCAGGGAAGTGGGCCAGGTGTGAGGCAGGGCCCCAGGCCAGGGAGGGTATTAAATGAACTTCCAGCTTATTTACATGTCATAATTAACCATAAAATGAGCCCCAGGGGCAGAATTAAGCTGTCAATTTCTCTGCTCTTACTTCCACTACCTCCCCCCACACACACGGCTTCCCACCCCTATACTTTCCTGCTTCACTCAGGCTCCAGGCCTTCCCATTCACCTCTTCCCTCACCTTCAATAAAATACAGTCTCCATTATTGTCGCAGCAGGAGCCCAGGAGGGAAAAGGAAAAATTATGGTGGAAAATGAATTGGCCATAATCTTGCATTAGCAAAGCATGACATAGTGGACGGGGCGTTACATCACCTCTTTCAAGACTGGGGCTAAATTCCCTCACCGGACAGTCAGCATTCCATGTATTATCCACGCAGGGGCCCAGATGATATGGGGAGGACAGGTTTGTTGTTCCTCTTGACTTGGCTTTGGGGCAGAAATGGACAATTTGTGGGGTAGTTTAAAAGCACAAGACTGGAAATCAATTGGAAGGGTTTCAATCCCAGCTCTGCCACTGTGACCCTGGGCAAGTCACTTAACTTCTCTGAGCCTCTCTGTGTAATACAAGAGTAACAGCAGCCACTCCCAGAGTGTGGTGAGGAGGAAATAAGAACACAAAGGTGACGGTGAAAGGCGACACCTGTGAACTATGTTGGCAGCAAATGTCACTTCCTAATTGTTTTGTTCTGGCCCAAGTTAAAGTAAGTTTTCATTCCCTTGAATCCCTTTTGGCTAACCGATGGGTTAAGAGTTGCTTCTTCCTTCCCACTGGACCCCGAGTCAGAAACCCCGTCCTTCTCATTGCTCTGTGCTTAGTTCCTATCCCCATGCCTGGCATTGGCGGGTGTTCATAACGTTTTGTTCAGTTGGCCTGAATTGCTATGACCGGTCCACAAAACAGATGAGTCGCAGATGAATGGCCACGAGGTGACTAGGTTTCCTGTAGAATCATTCCCTACTCGGAGCTGGAGCCGTCCTGAATAACTGCTGGATGGCTTCTCCACCCCCCAGCAGCCCACGGCTCCCTCCTGTCAGGACTCAGTGGAGCAGTAAGTGTAATCTTCACACACACATTCTACACACGCACACATCACCGCCACCAAAGGCAGCCACAGCCAATGGGCCTTCACCCAGGACTGACATATCAGAGTTCTGTGGGAAGACACGGAGGATGGGCAGGGGAGACTCCTCTAGAAAGGGCTAGCTCAGTTGACCAACTCCAGGGAGAGCAGGAGAGGAAAGGACAGGGGTTTGGGAGCCAGACAACCCTGTTTCAAATCCTAGTTCTTTGCTTGCAGCCTGATCTGGGCAGCTTGCATGACCCCTACAAGCCTCCACTGGTTTACTGAGAGGAAAATACCTTATAGGGTCATTTGGAAGTCTGTAAGACATGTGCACACTGCCTGGCAAAGAGTGAACGCTCAAAAAAAAAAAAAAAATTAGCACCTTTCCTCTTACAGCTTCTGCAACTCAAAACTAAACATCTACCATTTGACTGCGTGGGAATTTGAGAGTGACCCTAAGCACCCCCAACTCCAGCTGTGGAGCTGCTCACTCTAAGCCTCCTCGCTCTATCTTTGCCCCCTGGGGGTCCAGGATGCAGGAAGAGCCTTCTTGTTATTTTCCTTCTCCAATTTGCTATTAATGCTTGGAGGGCAGGAAGGCGTCTTGCTTCTAATGGCAGCTGTCACCCCTCATCAGGCAGAGGGGAGATCAGCCAGGAGGCGGCAAGGGGAGGAGAGAGGGAGTGCCCTCGCGGGCCAGCTCGGCCCAAACAGGGACCCACATTGTCTTTTCCTGGCCAGTGGGCGTTCCCTGCCGGAGTGGGCGGGACGGCAGCTTCCAGGGGGCGGCCGAGGCGCCGGGATCTGCGCGGCGTCTCGCTCCGGGCCACGTGCCCAGCGTGGCTTTAGGAAGCTTTAGGTGCCGCGGGGGCTGAGCTGCTGCTCCCGGCCCTTCCCTCTCCGCCCTGGCTGGTCCTGGCTGAGGTGGGAAGCTGAGGCCAAGGGCTGCGCCTCGTGGGGGGAGGCCGCGGGATGGAGCTAGGAACTTCTTTAAAGTGAGTGCGTATTTCTTCTGGGCTCGCCTTGGCCTCACTGGTGTATTGATATGTTCCTGTGTCCTGGGTGGAGTTCCGGGCTGGAAACAGGGTGTTGGGGAAGGAGTGTGTGTGGCTCCAGGGCCCACACACTGGGCCTCTCCTCTGTCAGCCCTGCACTGGTCTGCCTCCTGCCTGGGGCCTGATCATGGACAGGTAGCAGCATATCTAGGCTTACTTCCTCTTCTGGAAAATGGGGATAATACCTGCCTTACTTGGCCACTTACTAATGAGATAATGGATATGAAAAGGCTTCCAAACGTGTAAAGTGCTATACAAAGAGCATCTTTCCTCTCCTGTGCTTTTGAAAAGATGTGAGGAGCATCTGGGGCTTCCCCAAGTACTCCTTATACATATGCTCCTCATTCAGCCCATTTCTCAGGACCCAGGTATGGGCTGAAGTCGCAGAGGCAGCAGGAAGGGGTGGGGTGGGAATTTGCCTCTCTGTGGCTCCCACTCCCTGGAGGCTGGGGTTTAAAACCTGTGTCTAGAGCGGCACCTTGACAGGGAAGCAAACAGTTAAAAGGTTGGGGACACTAGAGATCGTGTCTTTACTAGGGGCCTCTGGGGAATCTGAGGCCCTAGTGCCCTAACCCATACAGACTGTTCCACTGAGGTCTTTGGGGACAGGGAAGGAATGTCAGAAGGTTTCCTGCTCTCTTCCCAGTGTCCCCTCCCTGCTGTCACCTCCAGCCCCACAGTGAGCACCACACACACACACACACACACACACACACACACACACACACACAGAGTCAGTCCAGGAACGTTCACCTCCCCCACCAGCCAGCCCCTGCCATGGCCTCTCCCGACAACAGCCCGTGAGCCCTTCTGTGGACACTCTTGCTTCTTCTCCCTCCTTTCTGGGAAAGGAACTTGGAGTTAGGCTTTTGAAAGCCATACCGCCCACCCGCCCTTCTTTCCAGGGGCCCAGCATTGAGACCTGGCCCTTTTGGGTCCAGTTAACTTTCTGCTTCTAGGATTCAGACCCAAACAGCTGTGTTAATATCAAAGCCAGAGGGTGAGGGTTCCAGGGCCTTAGGGCAGCTTGCGGAAGGATTTTCCCCTCGTCTGGGCTCCCCTGTGCCTGGGAAGGGGGAGTGTCCAGAGCCCTTGGAATGGCTCCGCTTCTTGACCTTCTGCGAGCGGCCAGCTCGGGGCTCGGAAGCCGTGGGGGTCACCCAGCCTGGCTTCTCCTTCAGCAGCCGGTCCCGGTCAGGCCGCACGCTACGCAAGAACTTCCTAAAGATGTTTGCCGTTAGGGCAAACCTGCGGCCCAGCTCCCAGGGCTGGCCCCGCTCTCCTTTGGGCCTGCCTGCCTCCCCAGTCTCACCCTTCTCCCCACCCTTCTCCAGTTCTGGCAGATCCAGCCAGTTGCCCACCAGGTCCGCAAACACGTTGTCACCTAACACCAGGGGCTGTCGATTCCGGCCCCGGGACATCAGTGTGGAGGTCCAGTCATCAGGTTCTACCAGCTCTGGCCCCTGCTGGGCACGGCTTTGGTGCTCTGGCAGCTGAGTCCCGGGCAGGGGGGCCAGATCCCTCCCCCACACACTCCTACGGGATGGAAACTTGGTGCTGCTGCCAAGAGGAGGTTGGCTGGAGGGGGAGCAGGCCACAGGCCGGGCAGGACCTCTGCCACCCTCCCATCGAGGGGTTTCCGGCTGTGTCCAGGGGCTTTCAGGGCAGCCTGGAGCAGGCCCCCCTCCAGAGATCTCCAGCCGTTCCAGTGCTGTCTGCACCTGTAGGAGCTTCAGTTCCTGCAGCGCCCCCATCATGCAGTTCATCTGATCCTGCAAGCCATCACCCACTTCCTTCATGGACATCTGCAGAGGAAAGAGAAGGTACAGGGCCAGTGAGCCACGGGGTGTGGGGGGAAGGGCTGCCCCTCACTGGCCCTGAACCTAGACCCCCTCCCCAAACACACACCTCCAGGGTCATTCCAGCCTGCCACTGACCCCACCTCTGTACAGCCTCATACACTGCAGATCAGAGCTGGGAGGGGAGGAATTTTAACACTGATATGGCTAGATAAAGGAAATAATATTAATGGTAGCTAACTTGCTAAGGCAGGCAAGTCCTAAGGTACATATGTGTACATATGTATGCATATGTATAAATTAATCTCTATTTAATCTCCCCAACTACGCCATGAGGTAGTGACTATTACTGTTCTCATTTTATAGATCAGGAAACTGAGGCATATAAGTAACTTGCTCAAGATTACATAGATAGTAAGAGGTGGAGCTGAGGGCATTGTGAGGGTGCACAAAGTTGTGGCCATCTCTGTCCTTTCTGTGTCTGTGCCCTCTTCTTCCCCTGAGCCTCCCTGAGAGGAGGAGGAGGAGGAGGATGACAATAATTTGTGAGCATTTACTGTGTAACAGGAACTGTGCTGAGTACTCTACGCACATCATCTCATTTAATCTTCATATAAACCCTATGGGGTTGCTTTTATCCTTCTCATTTTAACAAATGAGTTAACTATCCTGCGGGTGAAGCAACCTGCCTAAGGTCACCAGCTCATACTGCTGGGACTCCATACAGGACATCTCACGCCAAGTGCTACAGTCCTGACTCCAAGCACTGCCTCAGCATGGCTGGGCACTGGGGCTGGACTTTCAGGCCGCTCTGTGCTCCACAGGGTAGTGGAGAAGGGGTGAAAGGGACGTTGCGGGAAGAGGAGGAGCTCAGATGCCCTGAGAGAAAGGGTAGGTTTGGGGATTCCTTTCATCTGGCTGGTCAGGAGAGCAGTAAGGGGGCCAGGAAGCTGCTGTGTGCAGAAACCCTTGCCCAGCTCTTCCAGCCCTTCTCTCCCTTCCAAACACCTGTCCCCCCTCAGCTGCTTTCAGACTTGGCTCCAGTGCTCTTCCTGCCTTCCCAGCCCAATTGGCTCTGCTGCCCTGGCAAAGAGTGGGGATATTGGGGGCCAGTTCCCTGGTCCCTTTGTGGGTGTCTAAGGCCCGAGTCCCAGGTGCCAGCTGGAAGGGGCTGAGAGAGTGACTTGGGTGAGGGCCGACTTTGGAGGCTGGGTGGGGGACGCTTGTCTGATAACATTCACGAGGTTCCTGTCCCCGGGCCCAAGCTGCCTTGGTCCCGCCAGCTCCCTTCCCGGATCTGCTCGTGTTACCAACAGCAAACCTCTTGTGTGGGGACCATCTGTTTCTTAAGCCCCCCAGAGACCCGCAGGCATCATCTTACCTCCCGGCCTCGTGCTAACGCACAGAGCTAAGCCCACAGGACAGAGTGGGGGAGGGATTGCGAGGGGAGGCACAGAGGCTCTGCAGCTGACCCTCTCAGGCTTCGGGGTCAAACCCTCCCCTGTCAAACCCAGCCGTGGCGGTGGTGAGGAGCCAGGCCAGGCTCTCCTGAGCCAACAGCACTAACAGGCAGTGGAGGACTAACTGTCCCTGAAGGCAAGAAGGCCTTTGCTGGGTGTAGGATTGCCCACACTTGGTACCTTCCCCAAAACAGGGCAAGAAGAAGTGGTGGTTCGGGGCCCTGCACGCAACCACGCCCCATTTGAGTGGCAGCAGCAGCAGCAAGAGACACAGCCTGTAGAGTGGCTGTGCCGGCTGATGGTCCCTTGTTCTGACCCCTTTGGCTTCCACCTTCCTGACCCCTTCCTTTTGGAGGCAGCTTGGCCACAGCTGGGAAGACCCAGAGCAGAGTCAGAGGAGACTCTAAGCCCCAAACCAAACTCCTCAAGGTCCCTTCCTGGCAAACCGCTTCTCCTCTGACATCCCTGTTTCTGCCCCCTCTCTCACACCACTTTCCTTGTCACCCCAACCTGGAACCTCGGAGTCATTTTTGGCTTTTCTATCCAATCGCCCCTGTTCCTGTCCCCAGGTGCCTCACATCTGCCTTTCTGTCCCTTGGAATGCTACGGAAGCCCCCTCGAAGGCCTTCCAGCCACCAGATCAGTCTTCCCAGCACACATCTCTGATCATGTCACTTGCCACTCAGAAGCCTCTCCATCCCCCTAATAATAAAATCCTGTGGCCAAGACCCACCATGACAGAACTCCAACTTTCCATTCCAGGCATGTCTCTCCTCTCTCGCACGTTCCCCGTGCTCCTGTCAGAACCGCTTCTGTGAAACTTAAAATGCTCTTCCCTGCAGTCCTGCGACTCAGGTACCCACCCCAGCTCCTCCGTGCATTTAAATGCCCAGTCACTCATGAATCATTTACTGAGCATCTACTGCTTGGGGGCAGGGACTGAGACCTGCACATCGTTAGGTCTCCCCAGAACCTAGCTAGCACCTGGCACTTGCTACGTACCCACAAAACATATACTGAGCACCCCAAATCACCCCTCCAGACTGCCTGCTGCCCTCAGGCAGTAACTCACTGCACAAGGAGAAAGAGTCAGGGACATTTCTTAAGGTTCATTTCACAGGAGGCAAGGAGTCTGAGCTTGCAGGCTTCCTTCCAGAAGGCGGAACACAGTCCAGGTCAGAGGCAGTGGAGGAATGAAATGACTCCATTCAATCTCTTCTAGTATGGAAAAATCCTTAAAAAATAATGCCGACATTTTGTACCGTTTTCCAGTGAGAACGAATGTGTGGGCATGTATGAATTCAGGGCTGCCCGTAAAACAGAGGCCCTATTTAAGTAAACAAGAGCTGAAATTACACTCATATGGAAAATGATATTCTGTACTGGTTAAGATCTTGGGTTCTGGAGACAAATGGAACAGGGATCGAATCCCAGCTCTGCTGTGTAACCGCTGTGGGATCTGGGCAGGTTACTCAAATTCTGTTTTTCGATTTCTCCATTCTTTAAAGTGGGAATAAGAGTTCCGGCCTTGTACAGCTATTGTGCAGATTAGGTGAGGCAATGTGTGTTTACGCGTGGCTGCTAAAGGTGAATTTTGGCTGTTATCTTAATTTAAGACTTCCTAAGAACTTCCAGAACATTTCTTCCTCAGTGAACCTGAACACACAGTAATGATAGGATCCCATTCATCTATCTGGTCTGATCGAGGAGAAACACATCTCTTGTCTTGACCCTTCTCTCCCACCCCCACACCCCACAGAGGAAGGAGAGAGGAAGGAAGGGAAGCCTCGGCCTCTTCTTGCCCACTCTCACGCCGGCTCCGTCAGCTCGGCGCTGACACTGAAGGGCCAGGAGGCAGCTGTTCGAGGGATGACAATCGAGGAAGGAAGCCGGAGTGTGGGAAGTGGGGAGGGCCAGGGGAAGTGGGGAGGTGGGAGCATCAGCTGGAGCTTGACCGGGAGGGGAGCCAGCAGGGCAGCCTTTCCCAACCCCAAGGGGAAAGATGTCACCCAAAGAGAAGGAATGATGTCACCCAAGGAGAAAGAGCCAGAGGGCAAGCTGCTGTCTTCGTCCAGAGCGTGAGACCTTCTCAGATCCCAGGGTTTCTCTTGCCTCAGGAACCAAAGAGGGAGAAGAGAGAGCAGTGCGAGGTGGGAACAGAGGAGAGGGGCCAAATCAGAGAGAATCCCGAGCTAGAAATTCTCACCATTAAATCCCTGTCTCCAGGCTCCTCTCTGGCCTCCCAGGGCCTCAGAGCCTCAGGCCCTGCCTCAGGACAGAGACCAAATCATACCGAACTTGCCCTCAGGGGTCCATTGGAAAAGTCATGAGAGTCTAATTGGTTCTGATTAGTTTGAGTGAGAATGGATCTAACAGCCGCCTCCCTTTCTCCCCACCCCTAATTACACACACAAACACACACAGTCACACACACACACACTCTCACACACATACACACTCACACACACACACACACACACACACACTCACACACAGAGTTAACCTGCTCCACCTTCCAATTTCATACCTTTAATAAGCATATCCCAGAGAGGGTTGTGGGAATCCTTTCTGAGAAAGGCCACGAAGGGTCTCACCACCGTCCTTGACTCCAGCCCACCCCACAGTCCCTCTCCCGCTCCCCAGCATCTCCTGGGCCTCGAAATGTTTCATTCTAAAAATTTTCTTCATTTCAAACTTTAGTCTCTCCCCCTGCAGTTTAAATCAGCCCCTGGACTCCTCCCTGTGTTAGAGGCTGCCAGACACCCTCCTGGTCTTTGTAAAGAGCTCCGGGCTGTATCTGGAGACCCAGCCTGCAGTCCTAGGGGACTAACTCAGCCACGTGACAGTGGGCAGACTCTCCAACCTTTTGTGCTTCAGATTCTGCCTCTGTAAAATGACAGTCCCTCCCATGTGTGTGGCACTTGCCCTTCCTCTACAGTGCCTTATCTGATCCCCACAGTTACTCTGGGAGGCCGGCGGCGGGGAGTGATCCCCACTCTATGGATTAGGAGACTGGAGATCTGAGAGGTTCATCTTCTCCCTCAGGGTTTCCCAAACACCCTTCCCTAGACTGCCTTCATGACTTTCACCATATCTACATACGATCTAGTCTCCTAGTTAACATTTTACTTAAATCTACTAATTGTTTATAGAAATAAACGTTTTTACATAGGAACTTGTGTGAAATGTATATCGCTTGCCATAAATAGATGGTATATATATGTGTTTTTCATCTGAGTATCACCTAATGTCATCTTGAGTGCCACTAGTGGAAACACGGATCTATTGCCTGAGGTTCCGAGGCGTCTTAGTGGGAGGACTGGGACACCAAGCCTGGCCCTCTTACTGCAGGCCAGTGGGCTTTCCACGTCATCATAATCCCTGAGTTCTCAGCCTCGTGGGATTGTTGAGAGAAGAAACTAGGAGAGTCAGTGGGAAGAGCAAAGGGCAATTATCGTTATGTGGGGAGGAAGAGCACGAAGTCTTGGAGGGACTCCAAGACCCAGTTAGTTGATTTCCAGGGAAGGCGTCTCTTCACCGAATCCT